AACAATCTAAAAGAAGACAGGTTTAAAAGTCATCAACAGGCATTTCATAGGAAATAAAATACAAATGGTTCTTAAACATAGGGAATGATGCCTAAACCCATATTATAGTAAGAAAATTGCAAATTAAAATGATAAATACCATTTTCTAATTTTTAATTTGGTCAAGATCAATACAGTAGGTTGGTAAAGGAACAAAATAGGTACTTTATACACTGTTAGTGGGGGAATGTAAAATGGTGCCATTTGACAATGTTTGCTAAATTAAACAGGCACATATCCTCTGATCTAGCAATAATATTTATAGAAATTTATCTTATAGCTCTTCCTCACACATGTAGAAAATGATGTATCCAGTGAAATATTATCTGAAGTAACCAAAGAGAAGAAGCATCCTATAGATCCATCCAAAGGGACTGACTGAATAATAATGGTATCTCTAAATTAGAAGTTAGGAAAAAGAATGTAGCAACTATTTAAATACTACTATACTGTTACTGAATGAGCTCCAAGGCACATTTCTAAATCAGAAAAGCACGGTACAAAAGAGTAATGTTTGTAAAAAAAAATAATAGTGGCAGGAAATCCATATACTTGGGGTACCAAAAAAGAATGTATACACATGACTTATATTCATCTTTTCTTATTGGTGTATATTTAGTATTACAATTTAATACAGTTTTTTCTTTTGTTAAAATGTGTATACATTTTTTGGTACCCTCTGTATATAAGCATGTGAGTTTACACACACACACACACACACACACACACACGCACACACACGTGCATACACGCACACACACTGCCTGACAATTAAGTTCGCAAACTTGTTGCAATAGTGTTGCTAACTTTTTTTTTATATCAGAGGGATTATTCCTTATGAATTTGTACCAACTGGACAGTTAACCAAGTTTACTCTTTGCAAGTGCTCAAAAGGTTGTGTGAAAAGGTTAGACAAAAATGACCTGAACTTTTTGTCAACAATTCATGGCTCTTGCATCACAACAATGCACCAGCTCACACGGCACTGTCTGTGAGGGAGTTTTTAGCCAGTACACAAATAATTCTATTGGAACACCCCCCATAGTCACCTGATCTGGCCCCCAGTGACTTCTTTCTTTACATGAAGATAAAGGAAATATTGCAAAGAAGACATTTTGATGACATTCAGGACATCAAGGGTAACACGACAATGGCTCTGATGGTCATTCTAGAAAAAGAGTTCCAAAATTGCTTTGAAAGGTGGACTAGGAGCTGGCATCGGTGCATAGCTTCCCAAAGGGAGTAATTAAAAGGTGACCATAGTGATATTCAGCAATGAAGTATGTAGCACTTTTTTCTAGGATGAGTTAGCACACTTAATTGTCTGGCCTCACTATATATATAAATATATCTACATATTGTGATATATATAGTGAGATTACACACACACACACACACACACACACACACACACACACACACGCACCATCTCTAGAAGGTGTAAGAAACTGGTATCTGTGGCTGCTTCAGAACATACGAATTGAGCAGCTAGGGAACAAGTACGGGAAGAAGACTCACTTTGCACTGCACATCCTTTGATACTTTTTGAATTCTGTATCATATGTATTAAATACTAAAAAAAACCAATTAAGTAGTTTTAGAATGAAATGGGGGGGGAGCCTATTAAAGGTATGGAGATCTAAAGGAATTATGATGCTATGGGGACCTAAATAATGATTCTAAAAGTTAAACTTTACCTGCTTATTTTAAGAAAATATATAGGCCAAGAGTCAGGGATCCTGAGCCCATTAATGTTTCTACAGGTAGTTCCAAAGGTAACTATGCTTGAGTTTTCTGAGGTTCACTGTAAAAAACTCAACATAGCTTGCTTGAATACACTTTTTTTGTTGAAGTACAATAAACTACAATGTAAACTGCTGTTGTGTACTGATAAAGAAGATGAAACTAGGACACACTGCAAAAATCAAATACTGGCAATATTATTGGGTTTTACCATAAGTTTCCAGAAAGGACTTCCTGTAAGTTTAAACAGGAATAAAACAGCTCAAATAACATAAGGAATTACAGTAACAAGATCCTAGACAGGAGCAGCACTGTTAGGACAAGGAGGAAATTGCTCATTCATTCCATATCAAAGTTCTATCCAGTGCCCTCACGCCCTAAGTGGTAAAGGAGACAGTTTAAAATCTAGCACCAGGAGACACACAATAAGGAAATGAACAAATGAAAAGTGATACACTTTAATATGTCTGAAGGTGAAAAACAAAGCAGGAGAAGAGAATAAAGGGGTAGTTTCCAACTTTTGATTTGGGACCCAGGGAAGGCCTCTTTAGAAGGTTCACAGCTGAGCAAATGCTTAGAGGCGATAAGAAAACAGCATTACTATGCAGACAAGAAGACAGGGTGGACAGAGCATCCAGCACAGGGAGCAGAAAGGACCCAAGCCCCAAGGAGAGAGGACTGAGTGGCATGGAATTTGAGGACCAGGGTGTAGTCCAGAGTGGCGAAAATATAACTGGGAAAGGTGAGAGGAGTAGGAGATGAGGTCCCAGAGCTCAGGAGGGGCTTGGACTCTGCATGAGATGAGCAGCTACTGGGGAAAGTACAGCCAAAAAGCAGTATGATGACTGATGATTTACATATTTGTGTCTCTCTCTCTCTCTCATGCTCTCATTCTCTCTCTCTCATACACACACACACACACACACACACACACACACACACACAAAGAAACACACACACTGCTCCTCTAGTCATCTTGATAACAGGCAGAAGGAGAGCAAGGAAAGAAGCCATGGGATGATTCAAGAAACTATTGCAATAATCCAAAAGAGAGACAGTGATTAATGGAAAGAGTCGTGACACTAGAGGTGGCAAGAAATGCTGGACTGTGTGGGTTTGGACGTGGAGCTGTCAGGAGGTGACCATGGGTAGAAGGGAGACTATGAGTAAAAGAGAAGTTGAGAATATCTGGAGTAACTGCAAGAAAGTTGTTTCCATTTTCTGAAATGGGAAAGAATGGGGGAAGAGGAGGAAGGTCAGGAACTTGATCCTGCCATACTATCAGCATCCAGGTAGAGCCATGGGGTGGCAGTAAGGCACCTGGCTATGGGGATGGGGCAGAGGTGCAGGCTGCAGTTACAGTTTGGGAGTCATCAATGTGCAGCTGGTATTTAGAGCTACCAGATGAAATGATATCAACAAGGTGGGGAGGTAGATAGACTAGAGGTTTAGGACTGAGTCCGGAAGCAGTTCAATACTGAGAAGCCAGGAAAGGTGATGAGGAGGAGCGCAGGAGAGATAGAAAGCAAAGCAGGATTGAGCACTGCAAAGGGAAACATGACTCTTGCACAAATGAGCACTGATAAGCAACATGTTAATCACTGCTGACACTGGAAAGTGAGAGGTACAGAGAGTGCGGACCAAAAGCCTGAATGAAATGGGTTCAGGAAAGAATGAAGGGGAAAATTTGGACACAGTAGTAGTTCAACAACCCTTCAAGGTATCTTGTTGAAAAGAAGAAAAATGAACCAACAGGAAGAGATCATACGGTCAAGGTGAATTAAAAAAATGTTTTTTAACATGATAGAAAAATAACGCATGAATGTAGGATAATGGGAAATTTTGGAGAAAAAAATTAATGTGCTGTATTCTTGAGTAAGCTACATGGAATACAGCATTAATCACAATATCTTCAAACTGAAGACACCTAATTATCTGTCAGAAGAAGAACAGATGAATTAATGGCATAAATGAATACAATAAGATACTATATAGCAATGAAAATGAACAAACTGCTAAATGCAAGACAACTGATGCATTACAAGCCTAATATTAAGTGAAAGTAGTCAGGCAAAAGAGAATGAGTATTGTATGACGGCTACATGGTTCTATTTATATAAAGTTCTCAAACATCTGAAGTAGTCTATTGCATCAGAAGTCAGGATCATGGTCACCTGGAGCAGGAAGGAGAGGGAGGAAACAGGAGAGGAATAGGGTGGTCCCAGGTACAAACTGCATTCTATTCCTTGGACTGGATAGGATTTACTTATTCACTTTGATTATTCATTGAAATGTATATTTATGCTCTGTGTATGATCCTATGTCTTATAATGTTCAATAAAAATGTGTTAAAAATTAAATAAAATACATGAAATCAAATTAAAAATAAAATGAAGTAAGTTACCCTCTGATATACTCAGCCTATCAATGGAAGAATTTAAGTAGAGTCTCATGATCACTTGCTATGGACACAATAAAAAGATCCCTCCTCAGGGAGGAAAGGTTAACTTAAAGAATTGTAAGTCAACTTCAAACCGAAAAACTTAACAGATGAAAGAAACTTTTAAAAGCTGCCAATAAAGTCAATAGTTAGCTTTTAAAACAAAGCTGCTGAAACATTCCCTCAAGAGTAAGAAGATTTTCTTCTTTTTGTGGTAAAAATTAATATCCTATGCAGAAGAGAGCAAACATGGTATTCCAAAAATAATTTTTCTAGTCCAGGGGTCGGCAAACTGTGGCTCGCGAGCCACATGCAGCTCTTTGGGTACACACACGTGGCTTTGAAGTAAAATTGAAAATGAAAATAAGACTACCATAGTTTCACTTATAAAATTTTTAAAGGATATTATTCACATAGTGGTGATTTCATTTGTTTTATAGGTCTCGCAAAACTTCGAGAGACAGGCTTGGCTCTTACAGGGGTCGGCAAACTTTTGAGATGGAACGTACCCAAAGAGCCGCATGTAGCTTGTGAGCCGCAGTTTGCCGATCCCTGTTCTAGTCCATTAATGACCATTTATGGTCTTTAAGATCAAATCCTACAAACAAGCCATCAGAGACAACTCAGTGCTTCTGTTACATAAAATCTATGTTAAATCCTGGCTTCCTTCCCTGGCATTTGTTCTCTTTAATAAACTGCTAAAAATGTTTGTGATAAAAAATGTTTTTTGAGACAAACTCACAGTTGGTGACTTCGGGAATCAGTGCTATGCACTCACCAAGGAGGGTAGATATGGATGACGTCTTGAGGTTGTCCCCTGAGGTAGTGTGCAGTTTCCTTGTTGAAGAGAATCTTTAGGCGAGTCCCAGGGCCCTCACATGGAGAAGGGCTGTCAGCCTGTAGTCCCGCTAACTGTTCACACATGGCAATTTGGATGCTGCATTCCTCATGCAGCTCAAGAATTTTCACAATTAATATACCAGATCTTCTACCTAGAAGATAAAGAAAAGCACAAAAGAAAAAACAAAGTCTAAAAGACATATGGTTCAAAGTGTCATGAACAAAAGAATCATGTTCAGATAGCTTCCCTTGCCTGGAGACAATGGTCAGTACACTTTGCACAGTAAATACAGATTATAACATGCTCATTGTAACATGTTTTTTTTTTAAAAAAACCAAAACAGCCTGCATGCTGCATTTAATATATTTTAAGCAACATAAAATAATCTTCTATCATAAAGAAACAATCTTTCGCATATGGAAAACTCAGACCTACCATTTCTTAGAGCATGTTTCTACTCCCAAACTTCAAACGTCTGATAACCACAACAAAGGGAGTAGAGCCACCTGTTGATCCTTCTTCTTTCTTATATGCCCCCTTTACCTCATTACCTGTTTTGATTCTCTACTTTGAAATGATGCGGTATAACTGGTTGGCTACAATGGTTCTAATGATCATACAGGTTGCAAGTTGAGGATTTATGTGGAATGCTGGATGCTAGGGCTCTAGATTTAAATGGGTAGAATTCAGTCTGGAAGTACAGGTTCTCTTATCCAGTTGGCCAAGTTACATAGCACTTGAACACCTCAGTTTCCTCATGTATAAAATGGGGATTCAGGGCCGGCTGAGTGGCACGTTGGTTAAAAGCTGGCTTGGGATGCCAGCTCTGAGCAGCAGGCCCCAGGTTCAGATCCCACATTAGGGCCAGTGACGATGCGCCCTCTACAGCTAAGATAGTGAACAACAGCTCGACCAGCAGCTGGGCTGCCGTGAGTCGCCGGCGACAGCGTAGGCTGCAGTGGAGCTGCAGTGGGCTGCCGTAAAGCTACCGTGAGTGGCTGGCAGCCGGCATGAGTGGCCGGCAGCCGGCATGAGCTGGCAAGAGCTGCTGTGAGCGACCATCCAGTGGCCAGCGACCTATCTGCCTCACCCAGGAAGAACGCAATGGTAATACCAACATAGGCCAGTGAAGCGACGTCCTCCACAACTAGACTGAAGAACAAAAGGACAGCAACTTCTCTGTTCCTCTTCCCCGATTCCCCAACGCTGTTCCCCTCCCCTTATTCCCCAATAAAATCTTTAAAAACAAAAAAATGGGGATTCATGCCACCTGGCTCAATTAACATTTTTAAGAATTAAATGAGATAAATGAAGTTGACATTGAGCATAGCCTATAACCCAGAAATCCTATGAGATATGTACCCAGGAATTCTTGTCACATGCACCAGGAGACCTAAACGAGAAAGTCTATCTCAGTATTATTTGTAAGAGCAGAAAACTGGACCCAGCACAAATCAATTAGGAGGGTGGATAAACTGTGGTGTATTCATATAACAGATCACTATACAGAAGTTAATGTGAGTGAACCAGGTCTACATGGATTAGTCAGAGAGATCTCAAAAAAAAAAAAAAAGAGGGGATACACAAGCTATACAGAGTAGACACTTAAAGTGTTATTTTTAAAACACAGTAACCCATAAAACATTGTTATGAATATGTATGTATAATAATAAAAGTATATACTGGGGGTGCCAAAAAAAAACGTATACAGATTTTAAGAGATGTTAACACTTTGGTCAACATTGCTCAAGCAGTAATTCACCATAATCAGAAGTATCTAGACACTGATGGTAACCACTATGAGTGCCTCTTGTAAATGTAAAAATCAAACATGACTTGTTATCGGTACATATTAATACAGTTTTCCTTTCTTAAAATGTGTATACATTTTTTTTTTGCACCTTCTGTATATACTAGCAGGATACATAGAAAACTCACAACCACTATATCTAAGGAGAGACAAAGGAGTGTGACTCAGGAAGGGAACTCAGGGGATTTTCAACTTATCTGTCATATTTTTTCTGTTATAAAAAGTATGTGAATTAAAATAGACAAAAGATTAAAATGTGTTACTAAGCCTAGGTGGTGAGTACACTTAACATTTCTCTATTACTCTGTTTTATAATTTAAAAATGAATTAAATAAGATTACAAATGCTGTGTCTAGCATAGTGCTTTGCAATAATACACCAATATGAGTTTCTTTACCACTTCACCCAACTGGTTAATAGTGAATAATAAAAAGTAATATTTAGGGCTGGTCAAGTGGCACGTTGGTTAAAAGCTGGCTTGGGATGGCAGAGGGCCCCGGTTCGGATCCCACATATGAGGGCCAGTGACACTGCCCTCTACAGCTAAGATGCTGAACAACAGCTCGACCTGGAGCTAGGCTGCCATGAGTCGCTGGCGATGGCAGGTGGGTTGCCATGGGCTACCATGTGTAGCCAGCATGAGCGGCCAGCAGCTGCTGTGAGCGGCCGTCCGGAAGCCGGCAACTGATCTGCCTCACCCAGGAAGAGCGCAATGATGGTGCCAACTTGGGCCAGTGAAGCAACATCCTCCACAACTAGACTGAAGAACAAAACAACAGCAACTTGTCTGTTCTCCTTCCCCCAATTCCCCAATAAAAATCTTTAAAAAAAAAAAAAGTGATATTTAAATAGCGTCAAGGTTTTAGTTATACAGTTTAATTTTGTTTCCATTTCTTTCCTTTCATTTTTCTTCTGTCATTTTCCACTCAATTTTTCCATCCAATTTTTCCATCCCTTCTTTTCTATAACTGTCAATAGCATGTATTCACATATTAATAAGCAGGACTAGAACACCACCCCACAGCACTATCTTGAACTACTATTTCCTAAGGTATGTATCTATCTTTCTACTATCTCTTAAGGTAAGGAAGGAAATAGAATGGGGAAGGGTATGAACAAGCACAATGTTAAGCTACTCACTATGGGGGAGGAACATGGGGGAGTAAAACAAGTATTAAAGAAAGGCACTGACTAGGAAGTGAACACTGAGTCTGCTCTGCCACAAAAGGTGTTCGTTTAATAAAAAGTAGCTTATCTTCAATTGATAACTAGAAAAAGAAGTCAGGACAACATGGAGGTCATTTTGATGCACACCCCATTTACCCTGGGCAAGGCAGACAGAGCAGTGGTGGAAAATTAGGGTCTTCAGCAACAGGGAAAAGCCCTACATTTAGGGGCTGCATTAGCCACAGGAGCATTTTTGGACATATTTTAAGATTTGTTAAAACTTGTGCCTGTACTCAGGGCTCATTCCCAACAATGTGTAGCAGGCTTGCCACCTCACCCATCAACCACCAACAGCAGCTACTGTCCAGAGCTCCAGGGCACCTGTGCTCACTAGCACCCATTGTCTTGCTTGAGGTCAAGTGGGCCAGCTGAGCACATGCCCTTGGTTCTGTGTGGCTATAATACTTGCTGTGGCAGCCTCCAGCCATGCTCAGCTGCCTGCCCAAGCAGCACAACTTCTCTCTGCAGATACTAATTATTGCCTTGTGCAGCTCTGATTAAACATATGTTTGCAGTGGTCTACCCCAATCAATCCTACAATTCCCATAGGCCCTGACAGATTTTCTAAAAGGCAAGACATTGCAAAAACACATATATAGTATTACAGCAGAAAAAGCTATCTTACAAGATGAATCATAGTGCTTCTGAACACAGTTTCTTTGAAGATTTTTATGATAAATTCTGACAATATTCCAACAGCTATGAACTATGCTCAAGATTTACAGCACCAAATAACTTTTAGAATAAATACTCTTTCTGATATTGACTATCACTACAGCCCTGGTACACTGCAGCATGCTTAATGACTAAACAGATTGGGAAGGAATGATGAGTGGCACTCTCTGGACCTCCCCACAGGGCTGGGAACAACGCTGTGCTCTCCCAGAAGTACTTCAAAATGTTCCCTAAAGAGCCTCTAACACAGCCTTACCAGTGGCCTGCCTTCCTGGAAGATAATAAGGCAGTGTAATTGCCTATTTGAAGAAGAAAAAAGCATGGGGCAACCCAAGACAAATTAGTATTTGAGGTAAACTTTCAATCTGAACACAAGAAATACTGGCTTTACAAATGGAGATTATTTTGAAATTAGATGCATGGTACATATAAGGCCGTTTCTATACCAGCAGGGCAACATTTTCCATTAATATTGTAAGACAGCCAAAATACCACCTCATCCAGGAAGTGTTTCCAGAATCAGATAGAAGCAACTATTCCTTCCCTTTGAAATCCTCAAATAGCTTATCTATAGTTATGTTTGTTAAAACAGTATCCTCATTTTTAAACAGAGATAGTATTAACTATCCTCAAGAACACTGCAAATATCAAGAGATGACACAGAAAACTCATAGTGCAGGGCCTAGTCCATTACACATATAATAAGTGGCAGCCACGGTTACCATACCACGGTCATTGTTATTATTATTAACTTTTCAAGGCATTTTCAAATCTATTATCATACTTGATCCACAATAACCCTATGAAATCGGTAAGGAAGATATTAGTTTCCCTTTTGACAGGTAAGAAAACTGAAAAAGTTAGTTGCTCCAAGACATTTTTAAGGTCTGAGAGGATTACTGGAAGTCTAATCCTAGAAACTGAATATCCTTTAAGTCAAGAACCAAAATGTCTTTGGGTAAATGCAAGTTAAAGATAGGATACTGTGAATGACGCTTGTTTCCCTACTTTATTTGCTAAAATATAGGATTTGTTTAAAATGTAAAGAAAGTACATCAGGTTGAGAAATTAACTCCAGTGAGGCTCTTGCTGTAGCTGGACATGACAGGATTTCAACACTGGTTACTGCACTGAAAAAAGAAGAGAATAGTTTGTCATAGTACTAATCACTAAAGAGAAAGTGCCACAAAGATCAAATGGACAGCACAAATATCAATATATAACACTAAAAACTTCAAATGATTAAAAAACAGGAATAGAAGTATTCATATAGAAAATATACCACAATATGTAGCAATTTCTATCCAAACATATGCCTAGCACATGAAACAGTTCTCAGTTAAAAATGGAAAATATTGGGGCCAGCTGAGTGGCTCAGTTGGTTAAGAGCTCGCTCAAGAGTTTGAGCTCTGAGCAACAGCGGTTCGATGCCTGGCCTG